GCAACGAGCAACACAGGAGGTGGAAGCGCGTTCGCCAGCGATAGTTCTACGAACCTGACAACCGTGATCAAAGACCTCAAGAAATTCGACGGAAAGGACCCAGCTGAGTTCAAGACATGGATGAAGAAATTCTGCGTGGTGTTAGGTGTGACTAGGAAGGACATCCTGCCACTGCTGAAGAAACAAAGGAAGCCAGATCCCGCAAACACAGCGGCCTTTGACTCCTACACAAGGGCAAACGAAGATCTCTACGCCGTTCGATTCCTCCTCGTGGAACTTCCAGCCGCCTTGTCGATACAGAAGCACGAAGACGACACTGGCATCAGCGGCGACGGACAAGCTGCCTTCGAGGAGCTCTGCAACAACTATGACAGGGTAACGGACGAGGTCATCAGGGCCAAGATGGAGGAGCTGGAGAACAACCCCATGAACCCTGGTGAAAATCCCGACGACTACTTCAACCAGAAGCACCTACTTCGCACCCAGCTGGATAAGATGGGAGAACCCATCTCCGACCGCCGCTTCAAGGACATCTGCGTACAGGGCTTCTCCGACGAATACAAGGACGTCAAACTGATGGTGTTCAGAGACCCAACCTTCAACGTCCTGGACATGCAATCCACCATGCGCAACATCTTCTTGGACGAACAATCGCGCAAGGGATGGAAGGGACGCATAGCTGGTCGAGGATTTGCCATGGCAACGACCGCGTCTGACATCATCTGCCACAGCTGCTACGAGCCTGCCCCAAGATCAAAAACAGGGCGAAGAAGAAAGCGAAGCCCGCCGGAGCTACCAAGTGGTGCTCCAGGCACCACACCACGTCTCACTCGGACGAGGAATGCTACCAGCAAGGAGGAAAGCGCCCGGAAGACACCAAGGACTCAAGTAAAGCATTCACCGCGTGCTCCAACTGCACTCACTGCTCGTCGGCGTCCAACAAGCACGACTCAAACAATGAAGTGGCAGTTGTCGACTTCACCCGGGACGAGGACGCCTTTGACAGCGGCTTCATGTTCGGCACGTGTTCCCGCATCTCAGGACGGAACTTCGCCGCGAGCTCCGCCGGGGTAGGCCTGCTGGTAGACACGGGAGCATCGGAGACCATGTTTGACAATCGCCTCATCCCCGACGGAAACCTCCACGATTACACCCAGCGAAACTCTCCAAAGATCGTGGACGTGGCCGGAGAAAGACAACTCAAAGGTACGGCCACGGGCATCCTACACTGCACCGTCAAGGACAATCGAGGACAGCAATTGCGCGTGCGGATTCAGGGACTCACCGTTCCGGGACTTGATCGCAACATTTTTTCGCCCACCTCCCTCCTGATAAAGGGATTGCGCTGCGTCGTCGAAGAGAGCACTCCGAACCTCACTATCCAAGGCAAGGTGATTCCACTCACACAAGATCCGCGAGACCAAGGCATGTGCACCCTCGACATCACGTTCGAGCAGAACGTCCAGCCATCTGGCCCGAAATCCCTCGTGCCCCACCAGAAGCAGTCACAGACCCACACGGCGAACGCCGTCTGCTTTACGCTAGTGAGCGCGGACACCTGGCACAGGAGGCTTGGACATCTCAATGCTCGGAGCCTGGACATCCTTCGGAAGGACACGGGTACCGGGGTGGACTATCGCGACAGTCTCTCCCCTTGCGGGGTCTGCCAGATCGCGAAACACAAGCAGTCCCCCCACCAGAAGCAATTGACTCGCGACATATCACGGCCTGGACAGCTTGTGGACATCGACAACATGGGGCCTGTTATTCCACCTGCGAAATATAAAGGAGGCTCCTTCCCGTACGCGTGCAAGATCACCGACGACTACACGAAGATGAAAGAAGTGTACCTGCTTCGCAAGAAATCTGACACGACCGAGGCGGTGCACACGTACAACATGTGCGTCGCAGCGGCAGGAGGCTACCGGATCGAGACCATCCGCTGCGACAAGGGAGGCGAGAACACCGGATCCGAATTTTGAGACTACCGCAAGAATTCAGCTATCAAGCTCGAATACGCCGCCACCAACATCCCTCAACAAATTGGTGTATCGGAACGGGACGGACAAACCCTGGCCGGAGTCACCCGGTGTCTTCTGAAGGATGGAGATTTTCCGCCGTCCATGTGGGGGGAGTTAATGCTGACTGCAGCATACCTGTTGAACAGGTCCCCACACTCAGCACTGGGAGGAGCTACGCCATACTCGAAGTTGCACAATAAGTCACCTGATCTCTCGGGACTTCGGGTCATTGGAGCGCGCGCCTTCGTACACCACGAGAGATACCGAAAGAAGCTGGACGACAGAGCTTTCGAAGGCAAGCTATGTGGTTTCGGCCTCGACAGCCAGACCTACCGGGTATTGAATCCATCCAACGGGGCCGTGGTCGAGAGCCGGAATGAGACTTTCATCGAATCTCCACCCCGCTCAGTGCCCTTCCAGTATTCCACTGAAGCAAACGGGTACGAGAGCGACGTGCTGAGCTTCACCTCCCTGCTGGACAGCCCCCACTCGACGAGCGACNGAGAGCCGGAATGAGACTTTCATCGAATCTCCACCCCGCTCAGTGCCCTTCCAGTATTCCACTGAAGCAAACGGGTACGAGAGCGACGTGTTGAGCTTCACCTCCCTGCTGGACAGCCCCCACTGGACGAGCGACCTTGACTTCACGACGCAGAACGAACTCCTTCGGCAAGAAGTCGGAAGATGCAGCAAGACAATCTCGCTCGGGAGGAGCTTCGCCTAGAATTGGACGGGCACGAGGACGAACATGGAAACGGGCAAGATCTCAGCGACGGGGACGCTCCATCACCACATCTCTCATCGACGCCAGCTGGACCGAAATCCTAACCCCACGCATCTAGCCCGAGTCCATCATCGTCGAACCCGACTGAACCGGACACTTCTGCATCAACTGGACCCTCCGGCATGCGGCGCCTGCAAGTCACCAGAGCCAGCACGCGCGGGAAGCCCACCATCGAAGATCATATCGACGTCAACTTGGTTCCTGCCAATCTGGGAGTCACCATGAACGACCGCGGTCGAGCCCATGCTACAACGGGCCGCGTGGAGCCATCCGGTCTTTCCTTCACTCAGGTGGCTGAGATAGCCGATCAAGCCCAGCTCCCATGCCCTGGCGATACCGAGGATTTCGCCCACGTGGCGGAAGACCCCTTCACGGTGCCGCGTGCTCACGCCTACGTCACGATCACTCGCGAGCACCACGGGATCTTGGAGGAGACGAATCAAGCGACCGAAATCCCCAACACCTACGACGAAGGCATGAGCTCTCCCCAGCGCGAAGAATGGAAAGGAGCGTGCAGCAAGGAAATGGACAATCTGCGGAAACACAACGTCTACAATCTGGTGCCCCTCAGCAGCGCTCCCAAGGGAGAGAAGATCCACAAAACCAAATTCGTCTTCAAGAAAAAGCTGGACGGACGCTTCAAAGCTCGCCTGGTAGTCGGAGGACATCGTCAAGAGCCAGGATAGGACTACGGACGCAGCTACGCACCAGTATGCCGTATCGGGAGCATTCGCATCACGTGCGCCATTGGCTGCCACACCAACTGGCCCATCTACCAGCTGGACGTTGTTGGTGCCTTCCTGAACGCCCTCTGCGACAGAGATGTGTACGTCAGCCATGCCCCCGATACATCCGCCAAGAACTCCGCGACGGGAGAACCCATGGTGTACAAACTAGAACGGAGCCTCTACGGCCTATCGCAGTCGCCTGCGCTCTGGAGCGACACCCTGGACAAATCCCTCACGGTATTCGGATGGAAAAGGACTCAATCCGACCCCTGCGTGTACGTGTATACCAGCGGCAACATCATCGTGATTCTCACGGTCTACGTGGACGATATTCTCATCACAGGACGAGACCAGCAGCTCGTGGACCAGAAGAAGAAGGAGCTCACGGATCGATTCGAGATGACCGACATGGGAGAGGTAAAGCGGATCCTCGGGATCGACGTGCAGCGAGACTACGAGCAAGGAACCCTGGCCATTTCACAGGAGCACTATGTGAACGCACTTCTGGAGCGGTTCGGAATGCAAGAGGCCAACCCAGTGAGCACTCCTGGATACGGAGCGGAAATCTACACGGATCAACCTCAGGACCAAATCCTAGGACCCACGGACATGAAAATCTACCAGTCGATGACAGGAAGCATCCTCTACCTGGCCCAGTGCACGCGATTCGACCTCTCCTACGCTGCCCTACAACTTTCCAAGGCCTGCAGCAACCCAGCGCAGGTGAACATAACAGCAGCCAAGCACGTTCTGCGATACCTTCGGGGTGATCCAGTTCTTCCTATCGTCTACAAGAGAAGACAGTTTCGGCTAGCGGCGTTTACGGATTCATCCTTCGGAGCAAACCCCGACAAC